CAAATCTGCAGCATTGACTTACCGGCCGCTTGTGTCCCACGGACTGCAAAAGACAATAGTACCAGAAAAACCAGAGCGAGTGTCATAGCATCCTTAGCCACAATAACACAGTGATTTTAAAGTTAAAACACGTTCGTCGTTAACGTTTCTCTGAGAATCGATTCAACTCGACACCCAAAGCGTATTGCTGCTCTCAAAAGGGTCTTTTCGTTTTCACTGGCAACGCAAATATAGCGTTATTGATCACTCATCTTGCGATAGCCACATCATAAGTGTAGAGAATTCTTTTCACCGTTCTTGCAGTCAGTGTGGATCTATAGAGCTTCATGGTAACTTTAACAGGCGGTAAATCGTGAAAACGTTCCGGCCAGACCTTCAGTTATCAAGTTGAAATTTGGTGAAGATATGAACCATTTTACAGTTAAAAGAGGCGAACCATTCGCCGGTTGTCTTTTTGTTCGCCCGCGCTGTAACTCATTAAAATTCTACCTTCTTTGGCCTGACTGCTCATGATTTATGGATAACTGTTTTTGGAAGGCGCTGTGCAAAGCGGGTATCCGGCTAATTTGGAATCAAAACGAACCAGTCACAGCAAGTGTTTTATTCTCTAAAATGAATCCACCAGCAACGTTATTTGATTTTTGGCGGGAGAAACTCAAACGAAAGATAACATATAGGGTCCATCAAAGGTTACAGAACACTAAAGTGTAAAAATATGTATAATCTTTCTGTTTACCTCCTTTTTTTGTTTCCACTTGTGAAATGTCTCAGTGGTTTTCCCAGGACAATTTGAATTTTGCCTGAGCTCTTTTTAACTCGTTGTACACGGTAGTGATTTCAGTTTGATAATTTGGTTTTTGACTCTCGGCTAAGTTAGCCACATGAAACAAAACAGACAGTTGCTTCCCGTTGCTGCTCTTCCATTATGGAACGCGCAGCTATTTTTGAACAGGTTCACAAAGCGGCGTCAAGTTTCGTGTTTTCGAGTAAGCGGGAACAAAAGGATGGTTATGTGGAACGTATAAATTAACATTCAGATCCGTTTAATTTTAGGTCAGATTTCAGTTCGACAGTAAACATTCAATCCAGTGAAGCATAAAATAACTTTTATGGTAGCAACAAAATAGGTTTTGTCATGTAATTATTTTGCTCCACAATAGAAACAATAGACATGCTGTCAATTTCCACGAACCATAACAGTTCCATCCTGGGTTCTATTTTGATAAAAATTTAGAACACAGTGCTAATGTGTGCTAGAACTTTATATATAAATTGAGAATCTCTAAGGATTTCTTTCGCGGTTCACTGGAAAGTTAACATAATCACAAGCTCAAACACATGGTGCACACCAGCCAGCAGCTCCATAATGGATAACTGAAAAGTTCTAAGGCAAGAAGGGAGAGAGGAGTGGAGGGAGGGGCCAAGTAGGCTTGATCGGATATTAGAAAAAGGTTATCGTACCTCTCAACTTTGAGCAACTAGAGCACAACCCTAATCAATGCAACAGAAAATCGAACGTTACTGGTGTACTAGAGAAAGATAAAAATTTCAGATAAGGTACGTTTAATGAAGATCTTAGTTACCATAGCAACAAAATGATATCATAAGCCATTTTATATGACACCGAAGAACTTATCATTGAGGTATAATTTTAGAATCTTCAACCTGACGAGGTGGTCTTGACGATGGCAAAATATGCGCAAAAAA